TTACCATGCCGAACTGCCACGCAGAGGTCCCAGGTTCGATTCCCGGGCCGGGAGAAATATTGGTATGGCCTACATCTATTTCTCTCGTGAGTTTGGGTGTAATTTGTGGTTATCTATGTGTGTGTCCATGGCACACGCGACTCAGCGTTTTCCTAGTGCGGGGCTATGTTGAGTGTGTGCCTCATTATTATTATTAAAAGCACTTGTGTTATGGAAATCGGAAACAACAATGGTACTAATTACGCTTCATAGTCACGGTCATGGCCATGATGACCATGGAGCGTGTAACTGTTTCGAAATATCGGGAAAATAAAAAGAAATCATATCATGGTTAGAAACCTGTAATTAGTTATAATGGTACTACAAACACCCAAACCCGAGATATCGTAGAAAAGTTAGTTTTCCTACATTGACCCCGCCGGAGATCGAGTCGAGACTTCAGAGGTGGCGACTCCATGAAAACCGGTGTGCAAGGCACTCGACCACGGAAGCCGTCATAAGAGAGAAGAAGTGATTTGTCTGGTATTTGAAAACCAAAAGTTTTGAAGAACAAAATTAATTCGTGGCTTAACTCTGTTCTAAAGTTTATTATTTTTATTATTTTTTATATATTTATTATTTTAAATTTAATTGTATTGTATTTGTTTCCTTTTTTGGTGTACAATAAAGAATTTTTGTATTGTATTGTATTGTAAAGTATGACTAGTCATGACTACACTTTTTTAAATGTGCATAGTAATTTTAAGTACATTTATGTGAAAGATTGCGATCTGTCGCGCACAGGTATACAAATGTTACGCAGGCGTTGAAGAAACATTAAATGCGTATGTGGAATTTCCGTTTTAGATTAGATACTGAGTAATCAGATTATGCAATAGTTACTTATTATACATAATCATTGTATCGCACGATAGGTGCCATTAGAAGTTTATACAGTCCTCGGAAAAACACAAACAGCAAAATAAAAAAATTGAAGATTAATACGTTCAAAGATGCTCTAGGTATTTCAAATAAAAATAATAGTTATACACATTGACTTACATGGACGTCGGGTCCGCGTTAAAAAGTGTCCGAACTTATAGGGCGTTAAAATCGTATACAGAGCGTCATTCACGCTTCAGTCTTCGTTTGTTCGACTGACAGCGAAGCAAGCAAAATTAGACAGTATTGCGATGACATTACAATTTAAATTCAACGTTTTAGCTTTTTCATGTTCCTTTACATGTCACTACGTTTAAATAATAATAACGTTTAATAATAACGTTTATTCCTCCACAAAAATACGTACATATAGATCTTAGTAATTAAGATACATCCAATAACTTATTTTTGGGAGCTGGTGCTTGTTAAAGGCTTAACGCCTGTACTACAAGTCACCAGGCTCTCACCCTTGGAAATGACACATGACAATCTTAAGGTATTACTAAGATTAATTGTTTATAAAAGAAAAACATTTAAATAGCGAAAAAATACATTTGACATTATTGAACTATATACACCTAAAAGATCAAACTTAAATTAAGATTAAATTTAAAAACTTTTTTGCACGTAAAAGATATTTGACCATGAGTGCGTGTTGTATTATGTGTGTGTGTGTATGTGTGTGTGCTCGCGTGTGCGTAGTTACGGATATATATATATACATACACATATAGAGATCCTACTCTACCCAAAGCTCCAAAAATAAATAAATAAATAGGTCCTTGAGTCATGCAATCGGATGAAGCAAAGCTTCAGTTTCATCGTAATTCAATTCTTGCAGCCAGTTTGCCAACTTCTTTTTACATTCGAACTTATTTAGTTGAAAGATGTTTAGTTCACGGTGTAGTGCATTGTACAGAAAACATCCCAGGAAACAGAAAAATCTATGAGTGAAGGCAGTCCTGAGACGGTCAGAAGTAGCCACTATGCAATGTCGTCTATTTGAGGCGCTGTCGTATGGAGTGAGGGAATGTTGCTTCAAAACAGTCCAGAGAACGAATAACTGTCTAACAGTTAGAACTTGACAGAAAGAGTAAAGATCTCTCGTTGGGAACCGGTAGGGTTTAAAGCAGGCAACCTTTAGTAAAGCTCTTTGTGCTCTTTCTATAAGAATAAAATTACCTTTAGCAGCCCCACCCCAACTAGTAACGCAATAGGTTAGTAAACTTTGTACTAGAGCAAGATACACCATTTTCATGATGTTGGCGTCTGCCACATGACGAAGACATTTAAAAATATAAATTAGCTTACGGATGCGCGCTGACAGTAGATGTATGTATTGTCTAAAGTTGAGTGTAGAGTCAAGTAGCAAACCAAGATATTTTATGCTGTTGACAGTTTTCAAAACGACAGCCTCAGATCCCGACACCTGGGTGGAGATAACAGCAAACTTAAGATAGTTTTGCGGTAGAGTATGGTTACGTATAGAAAAAGGCACCACTCTAGTCTTGTCCACATTAAGTGTGAGCAGATTGTCTTCTAGCCACTCCCTCACCACGTCAAAGCCCGACTGGGCGGATTGATAAACTTCATCCCAATTTATCCCGGTGAATATCAGTGCAGTGTCATCAGTATATGAGAAAATTTTACAGTTTTGAAGTTGTAAATTACAAAGGTCATCAATATACACCAGGAAAAGAGTAGGACCCAGAATACTTCCCTGAGGGACCCCAAAGGTGATAGATTGGGAAACGCTAGTATATTCACCAATTCTAACACATTGGGACCTACCTGTGAGATAGCTCTCAAAAATATTGAACTGCAGGCCCCTCAGTCCCAATGCCTGGAGCTTATGCAGAAGTCGGGGAATCGAAACAGTATCAAAGGCCTTAGCCAAATCCAAAAACACACCAAGACACCCGTACCGCTTATCCAAGCTGACAACAACATGATCGACCAAATCATGGACTGCGTCAGAAATAAATTAAATAGGTTGTCTTGGGACATTTTTTTCGTGGTTTTTCTATTAGACCCGTCGTCCATTTATTTGTAAGTCAATGGTTATACATACATATTAAGTACATATTATACATATTAAGTATTATGATATTAATTTTAATGAATATCATGTTTTTATTACCACGGTATTCTTAATAATCACGGTGTTCTTTTTGTGAAAATCATCCGCTTCTGAGTATACCTCGTCCTTTCTCTCCCTCGAGTTATACTCCGTCTCTGAGTTGTTGGTTGAATGAAGAAAAAACCTTCATATGTTTCTCACAGATTGCGCTACGGCAAAAAAAGCCGTTTTAAGGCGAGGTATTTCAACGCGACTCTAGGTTTTAGGTTTTTTTAATATATAATAGACACACGCTTGGCCACAATCTCACCTGATGTTAAGCGACGATGTAACCGACGATGGGACGCGTTTACCTAAAAAAAATTAGCTTTTTTTAATTGTACTTTTCGGAAAATACAGAGAGCCGGTAGAGCATTCTATTCTTTTGCCTTACGCATCAGAAAGGAGGAAGCAAAGCGCTTAATGCGAATAGGTGGAATATCGACTACATAAGAATGGAGTGCTCCGGACCTTCTAGTCGACCGAACGAGGAACGGTGAGGGTGGAACTAAATTGAAAAGTTCCTGCGCACACTCCCCGAAATGTATCCGATAGAAAACCGAGAAGCAGGCTACTTTTCTAAGGTAGTCGAGATTTTGTAACTCCACAAGAGAATTGTTGTTAATAAGTCTCTTTTCGCTCCATCGAGTCCAAGGCAGCTAACTGGACAGCCGTCCCAAAGGTGGCAGCAGTATTCCACACACAATCGAACTTGTGCTTTACACAGATTTAAAAGCTGTTCCGGGTGAGTTGTCGCCTTTGGGCAATTTGCAAATTTTGGGATAAATGTGAATTTAATAACTGCAAGGCTTCAATTGAAAACCAAAATTTACCAAGTTCTCTGTAGTACTTAAAGAAAAATATCTCCATATAAAAATTATGTTCAAAGTTAGATATTTTATTCTTAAATAATTCGTTTTAAATTTTTATTTTCGCCTGTTTTTTTGTTAGGTTTTTATATAATCGGATATAGTACATCCTATCGTGTGACACATTAGCACATTCATTAGAGTTTAGACAATATCCTTAGGTATGTCGTAGATTTTTTGTAAGATCGTTATTTAATCGTCAAAACGTAAACCATTTGATCTAACAAAACAGTTATTCCCGCTTCTCATGCAGTGACTCGCCTTAAACCAAAAACAAAGATCGTAGCATTTAATATAATACCTAATGAAACCAGACGGGTGTAGACCACTTCACTGTGCTGACGCACTTATCTTTGATAAATTACACAACTAATATAATGTCTAACCTACACAGATGTTGCTACTTTTATGTGACTAGTTGCAATGACTATCTAATAAGCAGCAATAATGACTGCCACGCAGAGGTCCCCGGGTTCGATTCCCGGGCCGGGAGAAATATTTGTATGGCCTGCACTTATTTCTCTCGTGAGTTTGGGTGTGATTTGTGGTTGTCTATGTGTGTGTCCATGGCACCCGCGACACAGGGTTTCCCTAGTGCGGGGCTATGTTGAGGTGTGCGTTATTATTATGTTATTATTATTATTAATTCTGTATTTAGCGTTTATAAAGTAAATACAGAATTATTGCGTACGTTACAGTTACTGATTTTAACATTTCATTGTTGACAGACATGAAAATGACGATGTCCACGTCGGCGACGATGACAACGAGAGTGCACAGAAAAGTCATCCGGGCACCTCATAAGAGACCGCACGCAGGCAAATCGCCTCATCCAGGCAAAATGATGCACGGTGCCAAAATGGCGCATCCGGGTAAAATGGCGCACCCGGGCAAAATTGCACACCCGGGCAAAATGGCACACCCGGGCAAAATGGCGCACCCAGGAAAATTCGGCAAACTATCACATTACGCGCACACACACGCCATCAGACCACCAGAGCTGTGTGAAAATAGCAACGACAGCGGTCTCGGGCCAGACTCTGTTCACAGGTAAATAATTTTTATACCCATTGGCATTTAGTCGTGTTTTTATAAATCAAAGCTAATCTTTCTGCCATTTCATCTCTCACATACATGTCTATCACCATAGACCTGTATTTATTACCAGTCATCGTAATCTGAATTCTCAAATGGGGAATGAACAAAAGAAGAATAACGCTTTTCATATTGCTACTCCATTTGCACTTATTGAAATTTAGCAGTGTCCCAGAACCGTCTTGGTTGTCTGCATGATTCCAGTACCAAACTTACTAACGCGGAATCGTCTTGATGTGATCGTATTTAATCACACGTGTCGCTAGAGATGCGCGACTTTGAATGTTACTAATACTAATAATTCGAATGGGCAAATCATTCATCTAAGTCGAATCCAAGCACAATTACCGATACCGAATGCCCCTGCCATTCGGTCGGGTGCACTAGTCGAATGATTATATTACATCGGAACTCCACCAGATCATTCACCGTGTCTGTATCAAAATATCCCAGTCCGTCAGATCTGATCAGATCAGCAGTCAAATTATTCGAATACGAAAATTAGTAGTATTAATTTGTCATTCGAATGACAGAATTAGTAATTAATTATTAACGAGTCAAATATTGCAACCAATCGCCATCGAGGATCGCTACTTGTCGCATTAAGCCGATTGATTCGCCGTCACGCCCCAGTTGTTTCTAGGGATGCATATCACGATTCGACATTTATGTAGGTCAATTCAAGTGTAAACGATATATATATCGAGTTGGGTTTCAATACCCAGTGGAGTCCCTCAAGGGTCTTTATTAGGGCCACTCCTTTTTAATATATTTATTAACGATATTTGTGATTGTTTCCACTATTCTAATTTACTAAGTTTTGCTGATGACATGAAAATGTATGCCAAGATATCATCTGTTGATGACGTTAATGCTCTCCAGTCTGATTTGTCTCGTCTTGGTGACTATTGTATTAATAATAACTTAGACCTCAATCCCTCTAAATGTTTCTCAGTTACCTTCTCCCGTAAATTTAATAATATACTTACTTCATATAGCCTAAAAAATTCTATTCTTCAACGCAAGACTAGCATGAGAGATCTAGGTGTTATTCATGACTCAAAGCTCATTTTTGATGCTCATATTGATGCAATTATCTCTCAGGCCACTAAGTCACTTGGTTTTGTAATGCGTAACTCATTCTGTTTTTCCAGGCCTATAACTTTTCAAACACTATACTGTGCATATGTTCGCAGTAAGCTTGAATTTGCCTCCCAGATTTGGAATCCGGGATATCAATGTTATGTGGACAGATTAGAGCTAGTCCAAAAAAAATTTATTAAATTCCTAAGTTATAAAATGGGCCTACCATATAACTCTTCGAATTATTTTCAGCTTTGTAATGATAGGCGCCTATTGTCGCTTGTTACTCGCCGGAAAATCGCTGATATTGTTTTTATTTTAAAAATTATTAATGGTGATATTGACTGTTCTGAATTGTTGAGTCGTATTTCTTTTAAGGTACCTTCGCGTCCGATGAGGAAGTATTGCCCTATTGCACTTCCCTTTGCTAGAACGAATTATAGGCTAAATAGTTTTATTTGTAGGGCTATTAAGAGTTTGAACGGTGTGTTGAGCGACAATGATTTTGACATAGATATATTTAATTGCCGCGTGCATGCAGTGAAGCGTAAACTGATAGATGTTTTAGTTATTTGACATGCCAGGAGGGTTAACTTTTAGTGATTATTTAGCTTGTTTATGATCTATGTTTTTTTTTTTTAAATATTTCTTTATGATATTGTTAATTTGCATTAATTATTTAGTTTGCTAAGTTTCTTTTATTGTGTATTTGTTCTACTTAAATTAGCGCTGGTACCTTTAATATATTTACTATACTCTGTTACTATAGGCGAAAACCTGTAATTGGCTAGTTTGTAGTTTTTGTTGTTTTTAATACTTGTATCATAGCTGTTGGTTTTCCATGAATAAATAAATAAATAAATAAATAAATAAATATAATTTTTTTGTATCGATTCATTTCAATGCGACTTTTATGTAAATCAATTCAACATTAACGCGGATCGAATCGTCTCCAGTACAACGGAACAAGATACGTCAATGTGTAGCTTAACAATAACAATATTTGGCGATTTTCGCTACTTCTGTACCATCTGAATGTCTTTCCTCACTGCCTAACAGCAGTTCTAAATGAAAGTCGTAACCAACTGAAGCCAAAAAAGCTGTCAATTTTTTTTCCTTGAGATTGATTCAAGAACATACGATCCGATCTGTGGTACGGTTCAGAGGTATATGATCCATTACGATCCAAAAAATCGATTCGAAGCAAAGAATCGTGTATTTCTAGTTGTTTCTAAATCAGGATTAGCTGTCGTCGGCATGCGTACGGATCCGATTGGAAATTAGCAGGAAGCAGACTCGTTGCCGACCTGTGTCAAGCCACGTTCGTACGAACTGAGGCGAAACGCATAACGTCATGGACATAAAGCTTTTTCTGACCGACTTAGTGCGGTTCTGCGTTAATAAGTATAGTTTTAGTTGAAAGGGCGCATGTGACTTTTTTTCAAATGTTATGCATACTGCCGTGATCAGTAAAAACGGGCGATCTGTCACTATTTTTATTTTTTTCTATGTGGATAAGGTGCGAAGTTACCGCAAGAGAAAAATAGATGTATTTTTTTAATTTCATTTCTTTAAACATTATTACTTTCTCGGTTTTCAATTTAAGCCACAAGCGCCGTTGCAACTAACGGCGGCAGCAGTATGGTGACTCTCTTAACCTGCATGATCCCAGATTTTTACATTGAATCCACAAAATTTGATAATTTCCGAACGCTTTCGAACAATTTAGAACTTAAAATATTATCAATAGGATATTAAAGACTTTAAAAATACCTTTTTCATCCGCGCCGTCTTAGTAGCAGTAGAGTTCCTTGTGAAAGTGTTGGTCCAGGGAAGTACTGCCACCTTGTCTATTTATGCCGCCAAGTAGTAATGTCAGCATTATAGGGGTAGAAAACGGACTTCTTCGCCAAACGCTTGGTTTTTATCAAACTTAATTTAATGTGTATCCATGACATCCATGTTCGCCGACTGCAGACTTTTACGCCACGGTGTTTCACAGACAAGCTTATAAACTCCTACATCCGTCACTGTGGGAACTTTGGTTTGCTTGAAAAAACAAATATACTCGATGTAGATCCGAAACAAAAAATTGTTTTATTTCCAATGGGCAGCAATCTCGCAAACCAAAGAACTTTTTGTTCTAATTTTTTATGAGGTCGGAAGTCTGTGAGTGTGTCTATACAAGCGACCACGGACTGATGGTGGTCATTTCAGCTGATTAAGTCATTTCTTGTGGGCGACTTGAGCAGTCTAGGCTATATAAAAAAGGTCTTGACCTGATCTGTCTTTTCTTTTTTTATTTAATATTGATCCCAACACAGTTCTCATTCAATTGTGTCGAAAAAAATGACCACGTTGTCTGTTTTCTTACAAAAAACACGCACCGATTGCATTTTCTATCCCGCCTACAAATTTAATTATTCTCTAACAGTAAAATTTTGTCACAGTAGCTCTATATAGTGTGCCATGTGACGTGTGCGTTATCAGCGATTTGCTATCGCTGGATGCGCTCGCGACGAATCTGTCACCTTTATCACATACCTATCAGATGCATACCTTATCACGGCATGCGCAAACGCGCGACACCACCGCCGCGCGTGGCCGCTGTTTACCTACCTAACTACCTATAAAGCTTTTAATGTTAGTCTGTGTAGATAGGTAAGTACAAATTGTAGTTATCTTCGTTTATTTCAGAAATAAAATAATAAGTAAGGCCAAATTTTACTCCTATTTAATATTAATATCATAATGACATCAATGCATTTGCTAATTATGACAGGAATCTATATTTCAATTGTCAGTATATTTTCAACAGAAGTGGAGACAAAACTATTCATAAATCCTAGTAGTTATACGGACACTGAGGTGCCCTCTTTTCGACGAAAAATGAATCATCGAAATCGGTTCACTCAATTCACGGAGTTATCGCGTAAGCGAAACATACGTACACACCTCCTTTTTTTAAGTCGGTTAAAAAAGTACAGTTTGAAAACAAAATGAACCTGTTTCGTATAATCAGCCGTATATTCGTTTGGCATAATTTCCGTTATGTCGATTACATTCAGTGATCGATTTCACACCATCACTTGAGTCTTAAATGTTGTCATCCGGTGTAAGGTAGTATGTATGTTTTTGCTACACGACGCCACTGTGACATGTCTCACTGTTTATGCCGTACAGTATTGCGATTCTTAATCCCAGTCACTATTTTAGCAAGGCTCCTCGTGGGCGTAAAATATCTGATCGCATTTTAAAGGACAAAGTTACTGAAGTGCAGAAAATTGATTGTACAATGCAAATATTGCAGGCTGATTTCACGTTTCCTTCGCATTCAGACACTGGTTTTTATCTATTCTTAAAGTAATGCATCCAAATTGACTAGTGTTGAGTTACTCATACAAGAGGCAACTCGTTTGTACCACTCGCTTAGTCAGTTTGTCACAACACCTCATGCCATAAAAATGTCCCACCTCACACCTCATCTCAAGTCACAGCCTCATGTCACAACCTCACTCATGTCACACTGCTTCGAATTCAACAAATGCAACAATGATTGGTCCTGCCCGCTTTTTAGCTGATTTTACATAATAAAATCATACTGTCATAGTACTAAATAATATTAGCATATATTTATACTACATCATAACACTTAAGTTATCGAATTGATTGATACCATCAAGTTATGAAAATGTGCTTAATTCCCTGTCAGTGGAGTCATTGCCATAGGTGCAAACATTCTTACCACTACCTCACCTCATTTGAGGTAGGACATTGCACCGCCTCATTTTTCCAAATGAGGTACTCCCTCAAACTCATTTTAATTTCATGTCCTACCCAACACTAAAATTGACACCCTTGATAAGATATTT